AGGCTCATCTAGATTTGGGGATAGATAAGAATATGGGAGGGATGTGTGAGAATTTGATCTAGTTAGTATACCAAATTTCTACTTTATAAAGAGAGTTAGATACAGTAGAGTTGGAGGTATTATTAAATAGAGAAGTAAAACTATAACTAGATAAGATATTATTGACAGAGATGATATTAATATTATTATTTAAAGTGGAGTTAAACTGTGATTTTGAGATACAGTAAGGAATCCAGATATTAGAATAAATTTGCTGGTTTAAGTAGAGAAGAAGTTGAATAGTAAGAAAACAAGCAATACTTTTAGAAGAAGTATATTCTTGTAGTATATTGATAATATCAAGTGGAACAAGGCCTGAATTGTGGAGAATAGTAATGGTTTAAAACTGAAAGAGTGCATTTGTAGACTGTCAAGATTTTTGATTTGGTTCAAAAATGTTGTGTTTAAGTATATAAGATTTGAAGTTTACAAGAGGTCAAGGTATGTTGTAGAGAGGCATTAAGTAAAGTTAGTAGTAGCTCTGAAGAAGGGCAAGTAGCCCAGTAAAGTGTATAGGTAGGTTGTTGGCAGATGTGGCAGGAGTTTGGATAAGAAGAATATCTTTGGTGAAGAATATGTGGTGATAGAAGGTCATTCAGCAATAGCTTGACTTTGAATATTTTAAGAGTAGAGGAATGGAAACTATATATATAGTTTGAAACTTTTTGGTTGTTATTAAGATAAAGCCAGGTGGTATTCTAGTGGATATCAGAGAAGAAGAGAAACTATTGTTGCATATGATATTGAAACGACCATCATGCAAGAATATTTGCATTGCAAATAGTTTGAATACTTCGCCAGATAGGAAGTTCAAGTGGATAGTTGTTAAAGATAGAAATAACTAAAGAGTTGTATATGTTGTGAGGATTGAAGGTAAGAAGTGGTGACTCAGAGTGGTTACAGGCTAATTTATCAGTCTTGTTATTAAGTTTATTATTCTGATGTGCTAAAACTTTGTGAAAAGTAATAGAAAGGTTTAGAGAAGAGGAGAGTTTTAGAAGTATATTTCAAACAGACCAGTAAGAAGTGTTTGAAAAGTTTGAAGCTAAATTAGAATGTAAAAGGCTGTTATATTTAGAAATGACAGATTGGAAGTTAGTGTAAATACTAATAGCAAAATTTCTTGAGACTATAAAGATGGCTAACAAAATTGCTAGAAGTTTGGCTTTAAAGAAGCAAGACCAGAATTCAATTTGAGCTTGAAAGGTGTATTGTAATATATTGTTGTTAAGTTGTAGCTACCCAATACCCATAGAGTATTGAGAGTTGCCTAAGTTTTGAACAGAGCCATCAGTGTAAAAAATAAAGTTATTCTGGTTACTATTTTGAGTGGCTATTGTTTGCAATATGTCAAAGGCAGGACCAGAATCAAAAACAGGAGGAATTTGAGTAGCAGAAATATTGATACTAGGGTAAAGTATGAGAGTGCTTGGGTTTGAGAGCAGAATTGAATATAAAAGATCAAGGTAGTTGGTGTGGAAGTTAAGTGTTTTGTCAGGATTGAATCTACTAAAGAATTTCATAACATGGCTAGTAGGAATAAGAACAGTATACTTGTTGGCAATAATATTTTTGTTTAGAGGACAATTGGAGCATAAAGCTGTAGTTATAGGGGCATAGGATATGGTTGAGATTGGTAATTTGTTATATTGTATTGCCAGTGGTTTATTAAGATATAACCAGAGTTATTTGATTGGCGATAGGCTTTTTCAATAACTATTTGGTTATTGATGAGAGTAATAAGCCATGGCTTGGAGTGTTTGTAAAAGTGACCAGTGTTGTAGCTATAATAGTTAGAAAGAGAAAGTTGGTAGTTTGGTATAAGGGAGTATTCAGGAGAGTTGATAGTTTGACTTTTAAGATAAGTAAACCAGAGGGGTATTTTTTCTTTTAGGATTTTGTTAAGTCTTGAAGAGATATGTGTCCAGTCTAGAAGATAGGAGTTGTTAGATGTAGTAAGTTGGTCAAGAAAGAGTAGATGGTGCTAACAGAGTTGCTTTCTGAAAGTAGAATATTTGGGGTAAGAAGCAAGAATTGATTCAAGAGATATTGAGCCTTCTTGAATTGTAAATGGTATTGGCAGGTAGGGGTATAAACTAAAGGAGCAATTAATCGATTTGAAAAGTTGTATAATTTTAAAACTTGTAGCATGCTTGTCTGGTTTATCAATAATAGGGTTAGGGTGCAGAAAAATGCTAGTAGGAGACCAAAGGTTGTTTTGGAGCTATTAAACTCTAATTTGAGTTGATAACCCAAGTAGGTCTTTGTTATTTAGTCATTTAAGAAAGTTGGAAATATGATGTTGGAGTTGAATATTCTAGATATTTTTAATATTGTAGATTTGGAGGTGAAGGAGAGTGCTTGTTAGAATAGTATAGCTGAGTTTAACTTTATGTTTAACAAGACCAATATGTTGGGAAAGAATTTTGTTACAGAGAGATTGGCTAAGAATGATGTTTTGAAGTTAATATTCAATGAAGGGAATAATAATATTATTGATAATATAACGAGTCTGCATATTAGTAATGTATTTAGTATTAGCAATTTGAATTAAATGTGAGGATTCAGAAATTATGAGTTGGGCTTGTTGGGATTGTTTGTTGTTTAGGGTAAACCAGCAATCTAGAAATTTGAAGGGTTGGTGTGAGAGACAAATAGGCAGATCTTGATTATTGAATAGAGTTGGGCTATGACTATTAGATTTGGTATTGATAGTAAAAATCGATTTAGATGAGTTAACTTGTATATTTGCTATTAAGTAAAATGATTCTGCAGTAGTGAAAATATTAGCTAGCTCAGTTTGTGAGAATGCTACCTAGAGGGTGTCATCCATATAGGCCAAGACTGAGCAATTGACTCTGGCATGGTTGGTCACTTGTTGCTTAAGATTAATAAGCCAAGAAGCTTCTGCTATATAGCCAGGAAAGGATGATTATATATAAGATATAAGTGGGTCATAGTAAATATACTACAGAAGGGAAGTTATAGTTTCATCTTGGTTGATGCTATTAAGAACTTGGTATGGAGAAGTTAAACCAAAATTAGTAATAACTTCATTTTGGTAATTAGTTAATAGATTGGTAAAAATGTTAACAATAGCAGGAGGAAGGGTGAATCTAGAAAGTGAGTGTTGAAAGAGAGCAAAGTTTACAAAATTATATGCCTTACTCATGTCCTGAGAAAGGACCTATTTCTTTGTAATTACTGTTAGCATCTTCAATTAGATTGTTGAGAATATGAATTGAGATAAATGTGTTATTATCTTGTAATGCAATGTAATTGTAGGGGGATAATATAGGGTATTGTGTGAAAACTTTGCTAAGTCTATTAGTAAGAATTTTGGTATAAATTTTGTGAGTATGTTCAATGAGGCTAATTGGACTAGTAAGGTTTAGATTTCTATCAAAGGCATTGTTTTTGAGAATAGAGAAGATTCTTCCCTTTTTCCATTACTTTGGTATATAGTTATTGCATATCGGCAGATTTAATTTTTTGGGCCTTTTTTTGTATAGTTATAATTATTTTTTGGACTTTTTTTTTATAATACATATACCCCCAAATTTTTGTTATTAACAAAAATTTTAACACCAAAATAAATAATCTAATATAAAGTTCACAATCAACCCATCTAAAACACACCCAACCTATCTAACTTTTTTGAAAGGTAAGTAGAACTATGCCATTTTAATATTAGCCTTTGTAATTGGCTATTTTGTTTAAATAAAAACTTTTAATTATACTTTTATAAGCTACAAACTCAAAAATATAACTTTTATAGCATTTGTATAGTTATAGTTCGTAATTTTACTAGATTTTATTGTACTATATATATACGTTCTTCTAAAGGATTTAAAAATCATGCAGGCTTACAATGACACGAAACATCTAAATATTCAACATACAATTTATTACAAAATTATATTCAACAAATACCAGAATCAGAACTTTGTCATTTAAAAAATGCCATACTTAAAGAATTACAAAAAAAACTCAAGAACTATTATCGGGCTATTAGAAAACAAGTATTTTCACTACATTGTAGTAAAAATGCTTTTGTTGGCTTATTTGGTGCTTATATTACACGTTATTCACCTTGTGAATCTTTTTATATTTGTAATTTTAAAGGAGAAAATGCTGTTGAAACAATCAGATCAATATTTAACAACAATAGTTGGTATAAGCGTAATTATGATAGTGGACAGCTAAGTTTTGTTAGACTTTATATACCAGAAGAACAAGATATATTAGAAAAAAATAATAGAACACAATGTAGTAATGAAAATAGTAAACAACCAAAAAAAATCTAAATCAAAATTATTTCCAAATAATGAAATGATTATAGAATGGAGAATAACTGGTTTTAAAGATAAAGCAAACCACGAATATAGAGCAGGAATGCTTCAAATTCACTTTTTTTTAGATCAATATCAACTTTAATAAATATATTATTTTAAATTGTTGGCATTTTTAAATAAACTATATACTTGAAAGTCTAAAAACTATAATATTTAATTATCTTTAATGAATTAAAATTTTTTTAATTGTCTAATAAATATATATATATTTGTGCTTACAAAATCTCTAATAAATAATATTATGTAAAAATGACCCAAATGCTATTTATTTAGTTTCTGCCTAATTGTAAATCTATTATAATACCTATTAGTATCCATTATTTGTATTAGCTTAATATAATTGTAATTTAATCTATTTAAAAATTATAAATAGCTTACCTTTTATGTTCTATAGGTTTAATAATACTTGGATAGTAATCTATTCAAGAACAGCATTTGGATAAGCTAACTATTTTTGATAAAATCATTGATTTTTTCATTTTCACTTGTTCAGATATGGGATTGATCTCGAAAATGTTGGGCATTGTAAGAATGACACTACATGTTAGCACCATTATCATAGGTGCTTTGTTAAGAGCGCTCTTTATGAGTTCTATAATCTCTGGGTCACGTGAGAGGATTCTTTTTTTGTCTATCTTCATTCCTTTCGATCTTTTTGTTATCATTAACAAGCCTGTTTGTTTTGGTAGTAGCATTTGTATTTTCTAGGTTTTTGTCTAAGCTATGCTTGTTGTAGGTTTCTGATTCGTAGATAGGCTGTTTTCCCTTGTTATTGTCTATAGTAAGACCTTTGCATGTATTGGGGTTGTTTAAGTTCCTGTTTGCGCTACTGTCCCTAAGCA